TTCATCTCCACGTAGTCAAAATGACACCGTTCCATGTCTGCTCTGATTATCACGCGCTATACAGAAGACCCACAAACCGTAGCGCTTCTGCATGAGAATTTCTTACGATGAAGTCACTTGCGCACAGTTCTCTAAAACTCATACCACCACCTAATCATGGGGCGTGCCATCAATTTCTTCATTATATAAATCCAGAACCATGCTGTGTCGGTTTGTTTGTGTGTATATGTCTGTCTGTCCGTCCGCAAATGAAGTGAGTGATAAGGGGTCTCAGGACATCTGTCAACCGTGAGCCTTGGCGGTTCAGCGTTTTGTAGTGATGTCTGGGAGCTCTCACAAGTGCACACTATCACAGCATCTCCTCTTTCTTTATCTTCTTCAAAGGCTTAGTCCCAATAAGACACAAAGTGTGTGCTTTTCCAGCTACGCTCTCACCCTTTGGTTGACAGAAGCCTTGTAACCATGATAAGGCAGCTAATGGAATAACAAACCGCTAACAAATCGGGTAGCTCGCAGGACTTGAGCTATCAATGTTTTGCAATGGCATGATTGTGATAACCCCAACGGCTATATAAACACCTACTTAGCACACTTCGGTCATTCCACAAGGTGCTGCAGTGGCAGCTGGAGAGCAGTGGAGGGAGGAGGGGAGGATAAGGAGAGGAGGAGGAACGCAAAGCTTGCGCGGAGAAGGGGCGTTCCGGCGCTTGCCGGGGACCAATCTGGTGAACGAATAAAGCAAGAAACAATTCTCCAGCAGCAAGTTGAGGCTGAGTTGAAAGATCGTGTACTTTTGAAGGAGAGTGCCGCATAGGCTGCCAAGCCCCTAATCACACCACTAATCCATGGTTGGGTCACCGCAGCAGTACAGAGCCGCCATCAGGATCAATTATGGTAATTTGAACATAGACTTGAAGAGCGAAGAACGCTCTCTCAGCATTCGTCTCACATTTGGTGCTGTTTGGAGCACCAAACCGACAAAATAGCAGCCGACGTGGCTATGAACGCATGGCTCGAGGTTGGAGGCGGAGTTACGATTAGATCTCAGCCCAATGAATAAGGTAGAGGTGGTACAGTGGTGCGGGATGAAGAAACCAATGGAAACGGCCAGAACCCATGGAATCGGACTCCTCTCCGTTGATTTCCGCATTAATACGACTCTCATTGGTGCGGCCTCTTCATGGCTAACGCTCTCTGTGTTAAACGGCTGGAAACCGGCGGGGAGTGCTTAGCCAGTCGATGGGCGTGCCGCGTGGATAGCGCTGCGGAGAAGGCTATGCTAGGTCACCGGAGATATGCTTTGCTGCGAATTGCGGGTCGGGCCGCATCCTTAGGCTTCCCAGTCATTCCACTTCGTAAGGTACTCGTACTTCGACTTTCGACCTATCCCAAAATCCTACTTTAAATATCGGGCCCCAGATCTTGTTCAAACTTACCAGGTACCCTTACTCCCAGCGTTGATTAAACGGACTGATAGTACAAACAGTGTGATGTGAATTGACTTGTCCCGGGAATCGCTGTGTAGGTTGAATCTCATACAAATAGAGACCCAGTGTCGGCAGCGCTTGATGTTGACGTACAGACTTCACGTCTCATCTGCTGGAAGGAAAATTTCCGCCATTTGTACACCTGTAGGAGAACAGATCAATGGCCACCCCTTCATGTCGCTAGCCGTCACAATTGGTCAGGTCATGAAATCATGGTCCACCATGTGAGAGAGCCTTAGTAGATTGAACATTTAATCATCGATCCAGAATCCAATGAAGTCATTAACAAAGCATTTTGTATAAAAAAGGATAAAGCATTTGCCGTTGATCAATCCCTTTTTGGGATGCGGCACGCATTCTACTTCCATTTGTACATTCTGGCGTTGAATGCGATGTGGCCTATACAATGACTTGCGGGGGCCAGCCGATGTACAAGTCAGTGTTTTTATCCTCCCAGACAAGTCTGGTACCAATTAACCGACCCCGGAGGGATGGAAGGCTTGGTTGGCCCGGGCGACTCACGACCCAGGATTTGATCCCCGGACCGCTCGCGTGGTAAGCGCGCCACTTGCACTACACCACTTCCGCCCCCCATTTTGTCATAACTTCGTTTTTTGTAAACAAAAACAAGAATTGGCCTTACGGATTAGAGGGGAACAAAGACTCTAGAGTGCGCTAGCTTCTCATTTTCATCAGCGTCTCTACCCCTCCTAGGCTCAATCCTAGATGATGCCCCTGATATCCTACGAAGCGCCTGACATTTAAGGGTTTTTGCCAGCTGAGTAGTACAATACCAAAAGCTCAAGTCAAGCCGCGTTTGTGTGGAAACATGAACTTCATTCTGAAAGTCGCCGGAGTGTGCCCCACATTCTAATAGTTATGGCACCGTTTAGCAACCTTACCCCATTTCCTATTACCTCCCTGCAATTTGCGACCCTTTCCCCCTTTCGGCTACAGTTCCGCATTACCTTGATGTCAGTATTCATTCATAAGTGTTGTAACCATACTTTTATGCAATTTTATTCCTTTTCTTTTTCCATTTCTCGATCTTCTTCTGCTACGTACAGTAGCGAACAAACGTGTTCGTGAAAACAGTTTTTGTGCATTACGTCCTGTCTCTCGAGAACGAGACGGAGTTGAAAGCGAACACCTCAAGCAAAAGTAGTGTGAGAAGAATCTACTAGTGAGGTGTGATAGAGTGCCTACGTGATATGAACAGATGTGCTGTTGTCCGACTCAGAAAGGGCGCAACAATGGCCTTATGCGCCTTATTAAGTCAGCTTGGCGACTAATTTTAGCCAATTGGACGAGCGCGCACCACCATGGCAAGCAACATGGATTTCACGCACTAGCCGGCGAGTTCAAATACGCGGCGAGCAGTTAGTCGAGCCGGCCGGAGTGCAGGCAAGTTCGTACAACTCGGTCTGCCGCCGCCTCTATGTTCAAGGGGAATGCTTGTTTAGGGATTCATCGACGGTTTTATTTGTTTATTTGTCATTCAGTTAATTATTTCTATGCACTCAAAAGTGCAAAATCAGCAAGAGCACCACTGAGAAAAAGCAGCAATGGAACGATAAAAGAGCTACACTCGAGAAGCTACACTCGAACAGCATTAGTACTAAAAAAGCGGACGACGGATATATTAAATATTTCGCGGCTCTTTTTTGCTGTTTTTTGTTTTCTCTTTCCTCATTTCTGATCAGTTCGGCACCACGCCTTCACTTTCCACCGCTGTGACCCCACAAATTAGTCTGGGAGGTGCTTGCCTTTAAACAATTGAACGTTACAGCTTTTTCTTAATTCTTGCAAACCGCGGGATTTGAGGCACTACGAAAAACGCTTGAGCCCATACCCTATTAATATTCAAGTAACCTTCAATTCGAGAAAATAATGGCGTCCACTTTTGACCACTACTTTATGTATATTATCCGTTTCTGGGGTACTGCCTAGTGCTCTTATAAAACTTTACTGTTTTCCTCATCATTCCTCGATTCTCTTTGCTAGGCTGCCCTCCGTTGTTGACATTCTGCCCTTTTTTGCTTTTTATTCTTCTGACGGTATACATCTCTCTTTCTGTTCGCTCCTGCACACACATATTGACATTCCCTATTTATGATGTGCGCCGAACTTTCCTATTTCTAATAGCATATGTTCTCCTCAAGCCTTCATCCTCCTCCACTCTCCCTTCCCTCCCCGTGCCCATACTGGTCTTACGGCCTGAGATTTATTCCCAAGTGCGTTTCTTCGTTTATTTTCCTATGTGGTGCTGAACATGATATTTCTTGGGTCGATCTTCCTAATGTTTTTGGAGTTCGGCCTCATCATGTCATTTTTGCTTTATTTTTGGTTCTTCGCTATTCTGTCGTTTTTTTTCTCACTGCCCTGTCTCTACCCTCCAGTTTTCTATAACCCCTTAAAAGTTGTGCAGTAAAAGTATTATCCACTGGGAATTCCTTGCTCCTCTCTCACATGAAGAAGAGGAATTGCTGAACAGTTGAGTACAATAATTTAAAGTACAGTTGACAAACAACTGCTAAAAATAGAATAGGGCTTCGTCATTGTTTGAGTTTCAACGTGGACGTCCGCCACTTTCATCTTCTTAACGGCATGGAATAATGGCAGTTTATATGTGTCACTATTGCATTATTCACGCCTACCGCGCCATGATGGGGCTTTCCGCATGTGATCTGGTGCAGCAGAAATTCCTTGCCCCAGCTCCGCCCACATCGGTGCACGCCCTGCCCATTGTGATCGTTGACTTCTCCTTCATGGCTAGCCTGTTCCTGCATTTTTGAAACCCGCCGTGCTCTTTCAGCGCGTCCACGTCCCTAATATGATGTTCACTTCGCTCTTCTATAACAACCCCATTCCTCTTTTAGTTGCGTGGATTTGCATCAAGGGGTCATTGGTCATTGTATGGGGGCAAATCACACTCAACGACTAAGAGCCGCTACGATACTGGATTGATGTAGGGTTTATGGCACAATCCAAAAGGAATAGATCAACGTGGAATTTTGTCCCTTTCACTGAACACTTGAATTGAATTTTATTAGGCAGCGAAGAATTTCATCACAATTCCCCTCGGCTTTACATAAGTAAGAGTCAGATATTTTGCTGTCAATTTCCTACAAGCTTGGAAAAATTGGATTTTTATGTTCAGCATTGCGAAAAAGCTATTGACGCGATTCTGCTACTGGATTTCCCTCAAATCTCAGTAAAAGTGTGAGAGCGCCTGGTTTGAGCAACAAAGAGCTCTCGAGCGCCATTCCGGTACTTCTAATCGAACACTGCGGTTACCACTTTGAGTAGCCTTCGTGCTTCCCTCTGTCATCCTTCCCTTTTCACTATTATGAGAAGACCTTTGGTTTGCCTGGACTTCAAAGCCCAGTTTACGGCGGTTTTAATAATCCTATCACCAATATCATCTATTTGAAGGCTTTCATCGTTTATCGGATATTTCCCGCAGAGTTTCCTCGAAAGCGTCTCCACAATAATTCAAGAAATTTCAGTTGAATGTGTGTGGTTGCTGTGCTGAGTCCACTATGTTTCGGCGCTCCTCGCACATCCAAACCATGCGATGAAGATGGCACATCAAAAAATACTCCCGGATATAAAGTCGCATCGGAAATGCTCACAAAATCCATAAATTTCACGGTATGTGATCAGTTGCATTTGGTAATGAATGCAGCATAAAGATAGCTTCATGACTGATGAATCTTACTTCCTGACCTGCGTTTATGGATCTGTACATTCTTCGATTATGATAGGCAAAGCAGCGTTTATATTTTTATTTCCATATGTCGTTTATATTCCATTGGCTCGCAAAAATTGCCGAACTCGAGCTATCGTGTTGAGCTATGTACCTTTCAATGAATTGGGGTGTGCCAAAATAAGAGGGGGCGTTCCGGTAGTGAGCGCCAAAGGCTTCCAAATCACTCAGAACATCTTTTAGTATAAATTTTGACACCAATTTTGACACAAATTTTGCCGCACTTGTCTGCTTCATTTGTGCGCAAGCAAAATGATTTTCGAAGCTTGTCGGAGCTCCTTTTCCTGGAATTACTGTGGACTTTCACGAAAATGCCCCTCTTATTGGAGTAGACGCGAGAATCATTTTCAAGGACCCTAAGTCAAGCTGATATGTATGTCCTACGAAAAATGTAAGAAGGACGAAGAATTTGGTCTGAGACCTTTCTAGAACAATCCCACTGAAAAAAGGCGTTGAGGCACATGGCTGTTTTGAGCATGTTTCCTTGACTTCTGGCTCGAACAGTTGATTGTAAAGGTTCACCGCTCCTCCCCTCTCGAAGGGACATTTGAAACGGAATATTCAAAAACCGCTGGTAGACGACAGGAGTAAGCCCAGGAGAAAGGAGAATAGCTAGGTAGTACGAAAGTTGCTCACGTCCTCTCTCAGAATCCCCTCCCCTTCCTAAGACTCGGTCTAAAGTTCTGTAAGAGAGTCACTTACTTCACTGTCCCACCACCTTCCGACCCCTAACGACCTTAGCTCCCATCACGTTAGAGTGACACTCTCACTCGGAGGGTTTTGTCGCCACTGACTGTCCGTAGTTTTGCTAGCCATCTCTCCCCTCGCCATCGCTCGTATCCGACCTTGCGGAATGGCTAAGTGTGCTCAGTCGCTGTATTATGCCGCATTTAGAGGGTTTATTGCGATCATGGCAATACGAAACAATGATGGAGTAAGATTGGTGAACTATCCAGCCTTTTTGACGGCAGATTTTCGCTCACTGTCCTTGCGCCCTTCAAGCATTTCGCACTCAAGAAGTACATAGGGCTTTATAATCTAAAAATTCTTATGAAACTGCTGACACGGAGACTAATCAGTGAAAGTTCCAGGCCGATCCGTGCGTGGATTTTTTCGAGTTCACTTGTGGGAGATGGATAACTGCGCATCCGATTCCTAACCACAAAACCAGCTACTCGCAATTCGGAGTGCTTTCTGACAAGGTCCAGGAACAGATGCGAGGTAACGACTTGGCTCTAAATTCCAGCAAGCAGCAGACCCCATGAGCCACTCCTTTTATCAGTGTCGTAGTCCCAAACTTCAGATGTCTTCGAATCGCCAGAGATCTTCACTTCGAGGTCTATGAACACTTTGAAGTCTATGTATCGCAAATGCATGGACAAGGAAGAGTTGAATAGGATAGGCTCTAAAAGGATGCTGCAAACCATAAGGGTATGTTACCTCTAGCATTTTTTGGCTCTTATACAAATTTCGACCAGCTCCTTCAGAGTTACGGTGCGTGGCCGATGGTGGATGGGGACGACAAATGGCGAGTCGAAGACTTCGATCTGACGTCGTTGATGATTCACGTCAGCGAAGTGAGAGGGCTCGACGTTTTTATCGCCAACTACGTCTCGCTCGACAACAAAAACGTCTCAAGGAGGCTTATCGAGGTGAGGG